CCAGATGATCTCCAGCTTCTGGTGAAGTTGGTAGCAAAAGAAGGGGGAGATAGGTATGGAACTTTAATGGGGGTGCTGAAGATGGAATGGCAGCTATGTGTATTTTAAGAGTGAGTTGATGAGGGGTGAGAAAAGGAATTTCTGGCTTTGTTGAATCCCCAGAAAAATTGGAATACATTTTAGAGCATCTAATCCACCTGGTTAAGCTACTTTGTCCTGAAGTGCTCAGCCGCCTAGAATAGGGAGCAGAAGAAACAGATGGTTGCCTTCACCAGGGCTGGGGATTGGCAGGACAGATGGGACAGGAGCTCGGGAGATGAGGGTCATTGGGATGCAGTTGTGAGTGCAGGGGAAGAACTGTTCCTGAGCTCTGTGAGGTGCTTGAGATGTCCCGAGAGGCCAGGAACAGAAATTATGCATAAAGAGCACAGAGTCTGTGTCCATAAAGGTGAGGAGTGGGTCAGGAGTGAGGTAACAGGAGAGAAAGACTGATGGGTAGTGGTCAGAGAAAACTTTTCTAGTTTGATAGTGAAAACTAAGTTGTGGCTACACTCAGAGGACCTGAGGTGGAATGAGATGGAGTCACAGAGACAAGGTAAGGAAGTGAGAGTTGAAAAGGAGGCCAAAGAGTTGAAAAGGTTATCAACATAGATTTTGAATCCCAAAGAATACACTAGTTCTAGCTGAGATTTTTTTTTCACATGACAAAAACCCACACCAATACAGTATTAAAACATATGAGTAGCTAGAAATATACTTGGAAGGCAGACACGCAACCTTGTTCATTCAACAAATATATATTGAGCCATGTGCTTAATGTGAAACTGTATTCAATAAGCATGATCTGGTAGATTCCTCTCAAAGAATAGTTTAATTAATATTACTATCTTCCCACTGTCAGAGGGTACAACTTAGTACCTGGTGACCTTGTTGTAAAAGTAGAAAATAAAACTGGTTACTTGGAAGAAAAGAAATGATAGGAAAGCTAAACCCAGTAACGTCACCATGTTCTTAAATGGTTGGACCAATAATAGTGATTCCCAAGACACTGCTTGGATTCAATGTGAAACGACTCATCACTGCCTAATGTTTTGCCTTAGAGTATAAACTTTCACCCGCAGAGTGAAAGTTTATACTCTTTCCACAGTCAATGGATCCAGACCTGCAGCCTCTCTCACCCCATCACCCTCTGCACCCCATCACCCTCAGCATTGATATAACAGTTTTGGGGCTGGCACATCTGGAGCCACTGAGTGCAGGGACCACAGCACACTGGACTCACTGGTCCTTTGTATCCCAGATGGAGACACAGTCACAATTTTCTGAAGTTCTAAACATAAATAAGTTGTTTTTCCAAGGACAAGTACAGTGACTCTATTATATACACTCAACAGGAGACTGCGCAGGGTTTGGGATGTGGTAATCACTCAACTCAAAGAGGGATTGTTAGTCAGATTTTGAAAAATATATGTAAATGGGCCCTGGAGGACATGCCATCC